TCCATCTCGCCGACCGTCACGCGCTTACGCTCGCCGCCCGAGACACCGCGGAGCATGGCGTTGCCAAGAATCGTGTCCTTGCAAATATCGAGGCCCATTTGATGGCTAATGATGCCGGGGTACGCGCGGTAGAGTGCGTGAATGACGGCGGTGGCCTCGGCGACTTGATCGGGCGACCCGTTCTGGAGCGAGTCCAAGACGCGCTGCGACACGACGTTGCCGCCGCTGCACGCATGGGCAAAGGCCAAGGTCTCTTTGACCGTCAAGACGGCGTAGTGGAAGTCGAGCTGGCTCACGTACGACGCAAACTGCGGCAGCGTGTGCTGAAGGTCAGCGCTCGGCACGCCATTGTACGTGACGTTGCCGCCGACCAAAATGTTCTTGTGCATCGGGAAGCGACCCGAGAGGATCTTCATGAGCGACGACTTGCCCGAGTTGGGTTGACCGAGCACGAGCGTCATCGTCCGCGGCTTGAAGACGCCGGTCATCGGATGCAACACGTCCTTGCGGATCACGCGCTTGGTGTGGAAGAGACGCATGATGGCCTTCTTGCCTTGGTTGTACAAGGTCGGGAGCTCGTGGCCGTCTTTGGTCGCCACTTGCACGTCGGCGGCGACCGAGAGGTCTTGGAACCGGATTTCCATCTGCGGCAGCGGCTTGGCCATCGCGGCTTCGAGCTGCGCCGCCATGCGCTCGTGAAAGTCTTCCGAGCCATCGACGAGGAACTCGTCGGCGGTTTGAGGTATTGTCGTTGGCTTTGGTGTCGACATAATGTCTGTGTGGGTCGGCAAATTGGCAAATGAACACCAACGCGAGGCAGCGACAATGGCGGCCGCGCAGAAAAGCACCTGCACGACTGCGACACCACAACGCTATGCAAACGATGAGTGCGTATGTGTCATGCGTTATGACGGAGCCGCGCTCGATCGTCAACACGGGCCGCCACGTGGTTGCATTGGTCGCAAAACCACGTTACGAGGTCGGTGCAAGGTCAGTTGAGTGCCGGAACGGCGCCAAATCGAAGGCAGTTTTATGCACCAACACAGTGCACATGTCCCGTACTGTGTCGCGCAAGTACTACCACGGGGAGCGGACGTGCAAGCAATCCAGCGGCGGATCATGAAAGCGATCGACTTCTGACCACGCCGACAAGCTACGCTTTTCAGGCGGCGCAGCACCTCCATTTGGAGCAGCTAGAACCACAGGCGGTAGAATGGAGAGCAGTGTCTTTTGGACGCGTGTGGCGGTTGCTGGTGGTTGGTATCGCATGGTGAGGTGAGCTTTCTACGATCCGCGCGCCTTGTGGAGGACTGGTGGTGTGACGGCGGAAGTGTCCGAGGCGCTTACGTAGCAGCAATCAATTCTATGCGCGTTGCACTGCAATTTTCGAGATAGTCGATCGGCTCCTTGTCTTTGATGGCATTTGTGGCGAGTCTTTGGCGCTCTGAAGCGCAGAATCAGCAAAGTACTGCTCCAACGACCGAATCCGGCACCTCCGAAAGGACCATATGTATTCAGCGTCTGCACATCCCGACATGGTCGTTTCGTCAAGAATGTCCATAATGTCCGCGTATAGATCATCCAATGCATCCATATATAAAGTGACAGGATCGCTCCTTTTGAAGGACGTATTTTGGTGAGATGAAAGCGAGCTGCCTTGTGCTCATCAGGGTATATATTCTCACGGCATTGATATGCCAAAGACGTGAGTATACATATATGTACCCTTCTATTCTTCTGCATTTTCTAGTGAAGCCGCTCTGTGGTGTTGATATCAAATCCATAGCATGCAACAAAGTATGGCATTGGCTGTCCATAAACACCATACGTAAATATCCATGAGGGTTGCACTGCCTCAGCCCAGCGCTCGTTGACGTCGACCGCGTTGATTTTATGTGCCCTTGAGGTATTGGAGCGCATCCACTGCCATCTCAGGCACCATCTTGGGTTCATGTTCCGCTCCAAGCCCACAATCTCCAGAGTTTTCCATGAAAGTTTGCACGACACACAGAACACGGTCCACGATGGCTCGTCAACACTAGTATCGGTCCCATGCCAAAGCATCCACGTTCAAAGCTTTAGATGCAAACTTCATTTTTAATTGTAATTGTTTTGGATGTAGAAAACACAAGTTGGCCACATCCCTTTACCGCTTCTGGTGGTTGACGTAGCGGAGACAGAGGAGTGCGAGGACGCGGAAGAGCACGATGCAGCCGACGACGACCCAAATGTTCATCTGCTTGTCGTCGATCTTCATCTCGTAAATGTACTCGACGTAGTCCTTGATGCGGATCTCGGTCTTGTTCATCTCGTGGAGGATGCTCTGGGGCACGCCCGTCATGATGTTGCACCCGAGCTGCGTCATGTCGCCCGTGCACTTGGAGAACGTCTCGGCCGTCAAAATCGCAAGCGAGTACTTGGGCGGCGTAATGGTGTACAGCCAGCGATACCCCGACGGGATCTGCGACGCCGGCGGGTTGTAGCCCATGAAGAGGAAGAAGATCGAGTTGAGGAGGACACCCATGAGCGCGGCGACCTCGACACGGGGCGTTGCGTACACCATCAACTGGCCCAAGTAGACGTTCATCAAGACGAGGAGCGAGAGGTTGAGGCCGTAGAAGAGGCATGCGCCGACCGACTCGTTGAGACCGACAAACGGGTAGTAGATGATCGTGAAGACGAAGGTCGTCACAAACACATACGGGATCTCGGCGAGCGTCGAGCCGACAAAGTACCAGAGCGCGTTGTACGTCTGCGAGGCGCGCTCGCGGTAGAACGACGCGCGCTCTTCGGCGGCGATTGGGAGGACACTGTTGAACGAGATCAAACCGATGAAGAGCGACGTCATGAAGATCATGCCGACGCCGCCAGTCGCACCCGAGTACGTGGCGTAGTCGATGCCGCGGAAGACAAGACCAAAGAGGACAGCGAGAAAGATCGACATGAGCCCGCGCGTGTAGTTGTACGACGGCGTGCGCCAATAGATGCGGAACCAGCGCTGCGTGACCATCTTGAACTGCGTCGACGACGACGCCGCGCGCTTGTTGGCAAACGTGAGCTCCGGGATCGATGCATGCGGCTGCGTGTGGTGCGCAAGCTCCGAGACAAGAAGCTGGCGCTCGTGGCTCTGCATGAACGCCTGCACAAAGTCCGTGGGCGCGCCGCCGCCCTGCTTGGCTTCGACACCGGCACCAATGACTTCGAGCATCCACGTCGCCGGGTTGGCCGTCGGAAGAAGAGCCGGCGTGTTGGGAATCGACTTGAAGTAGTTGATCAGATGACTCGCACTTGCGCCGAGGTCGCCAAAGAAGACGGTCTCGCCACCGCGCTTGAGGAGGAGGAGCGAGTCAAACATCTCAAACACTTCCGTCGACGGCTGGTGGATCGTGCAGACGACCGTGCGGCCCGTCGACGCGATCTTGCGAATGCCCGTCATGATGATCTTGGCCGAGCGAGCGTCAAGACCGGACGTCGGTTCATCGAGGAAAAGCACCGACGGCGCTGCCGCGAGCTCAACACCGATCGTCAAGCGCTTCATCTGCTCGACGGACGCGCCACGAATGATGGTGTCGCCGAGGGCCTTCATGTCCAAAATGTCCAGGCACTCTTCCGCAAACGCCATCTTCTCTTCAGCAGGAATGTCATCCGACTGGCGGAGCATCGCGCTGAACTGGAACGCCTCACGGAACGTCGCTGCTTCCGAGTGAATGTCCATCTGCTCGCAGTAGCCCGTCGCACGGCGAATCGAGAGGTCCGTGGCCGGGTACCCGTTCAAAAGAATGTTTCCTTCGATCTTGCCGCCCGTCTTGCGACCGGCAATGACGTCCATCAAGGTGGTCTTGCCCGCACCCGACGAACCCATGAGCGCCGTGATCGTACCAGGGCGCGCGTAGCCGCTGACGCCCTTGAGCAGCTTGAGATCCGGCTCGCCCTTGGTCGGGTTGGGTACTGAGTACCAGAGGTCTTCAAACGCGAGCGTCACGGGAATCGACGTCGACGCGGTGCTGCCGATGGGAACCGCGTGGGCGTCAGCGGGCGTCTTGGGCACTTCAACGTAGATGTCGGCGCCCTTGCTGTGCTCGGCGCTCTCGTCGTCGTCAGCGACGTGCACGCTTCCATGCGCCGCCGTGTCGTACCGAATGTACTCGAGCGCGAGGTACGAGATGCCGAGAAACACAAAGTAGCATGCAGCGAGAAAGAGCGCGCCGTACCAGATCCAGACCTTCTTGGTCTCGAGGCCGAACGTCTCAAGCATGACGTTGCCCATCGTGTCGCCCTTGAGCTTGCAGTAGTTGATGCCGCCTTCCTTGATCACGCACTTTTGGAACTCGCCTGCCGAGTACTGGTTGATCGAGAGAGCGCGCATGCACCAGCTGAGCGGGTTGAGCCAGTAGAGCCAGATAAAGTAGTCGGGGATGTCGTCCTTGAAGATCGCAAAGCCGGCAAACATGACATAGATCAAGACCGACATCATCGAGAGCGGCTTGGCGACGTGGAGGTTGGGCGAGACGACCGCGAGGAAGAAGAACCACGACGCAAACGACAAGTTGGTCAGAAAGAGCAGCAGGAGGTAGACTAGGAAGGCGCCGACTTCGGCGACGAAGCCCGAGAGCCAGTACATGACCGAGCCAAACACCAGCGTCTCGCCCAAGGCGAACGGCACTTGGGTGAACGACTGCGCCAGAATGAACGACGACGTCTTGAAGAACTGCGCCGACCGCTGCTTGTAGAAGATCTCGCGAGCTTCTAGGACCGCCGGCATGAGCGGTACCTGGCCGAGTGCGAGGAAGAGCACGGCCGTGAAGATAACACCGAGGACGACGACCGGCATCTCGGGATTGACTTGGTAGAACGTCGTCGAGTAGAGAAGACCCATGAGCAGCACCATGACGAAGCGGCTCTTGACGAACGCCGTGTTGCGCAAAAACACCTTGAGCTGGCGCGCGATGAGCATCTTGGTGCTCTGCACATACGGCACTTGGTACGCCGGCATCTCGGCCAAGTGCTTGGACGCGTCCGCAAGCAGAAGCGGGTGGTGCGGACCCTCAACGTGGCTCATCATAGTCGCGTAGATGGTCGACATGCGGAAGAGGTCCGCATACTGGCTTGGCGTACGCGGCACCGACGTCGTAGCGTCGACGACGTACTGCGCCTGCTCAGG